GTCCGTAGGGTTCAATATTGAGTTGGCCCCGCCTTTCCACACACATGACCCTTTAATAGCCTCCCAGTCTTAGTCCATAGGGACCTTCAATATTGAGTTGGCCCCGCCCTTTCCACGCACATGACCTTTAATAGCCTCCCAGTCTTAGTCCGTAGGGTTCAATATTGAGTTGGCCCCGCCCTTTCCACGCACATGACCTTTAATGGCCCCCCAGTCTTAGTCCGTAGGGTTCAATATTGAGTTTGGCCCCGCCCTTTGCAGCTATAACAGCTTCAACTCTTCTGGGAAGGCCGTCCACAAGGTTTAGGAGGGTGTCTATGGGAAGGTTGGACCATTCTTCCAGAAGCACATTTGTCTGGTCAGGCACTGATGTCGGGGGAGGAGGCCTGGCTCACAGTCTCCGCTCTAATTCAGCCCAAAGGTGTTCTATGGGGTTGGGGCAGGACTATGTGCAGGCCAGTCAAGTTCCTCCACCCCAAACTGGCTCCTCCATGTCTTTATTGACCTTGCTTTGTGCACTGGTGCTGTCACTTTGGAACATCCCCAAACTCTTCCCACAAAGTTGGGAGCATGAAATTGTCAAAAATATCTGGGTCTGCTGACGCCTTAAGAGTTCCCATCACTGGAACTAGGGGGGCCAAGCCCAACCCCTGAAAAACAACCCCACACCATAATCCCCCCTCCACCAAACTTTACACTTGGCACAATGCAGTCAGGTAAGTACCGTTCTCCTGGCAGCTGCCAAACCCAGACACATCCATTGGATTGCCAGACAGTAATTGGTCCCTCCAGAGAACACGTCTCCTCTGCTCTAGAGTCCAGTGGTGGCGTGCTTTACACCATGGCATCCGACGCTTTGCATTGCACTTGCTGATGGAAGGCTTGGATGCAGCTGCTCGGCCATGGAAACCCTTTCCATGAAGCTCTCTACGCACTGTTGTTGGGCTCATCTGAAGGCCACACCAAGTTTGGAGGTCTTTAGCTATTGACTCTGCAGACAGTTGGTGACTCCTGCGCACTGTGCGCTTCAGCATGCGCTGACCCCGCCCTGTCATGTGACGTGGCCTACCACTTGGTGGCTGAGTGGCTGTTGTCCCCAGTTGCTTCCACTTTGTTACAATTCCACTAACAGTTGAGCGTGGAATATTTAGTAGCCAGGAAATGTCACGGATGGACTTATTGCCCAGGTGGCCACCTATCACGGGACCACGCTTGGAGTCACTGAGCTCCTGAGAGCAACCCATTCTTTCACCAATGTTTGTAGAAGCCGTCTGCATGCCTAGGGGCCTGATTGTATACACATGTGGCCATGGAGGTGATTGGAACACCCGAATCCAATGATTTGGAGGGCGGGGCCAATACTTCTGGCAAAATAGTATATGCCCTTATGGCCATATTAGGTCAATGATGTTGCCCTTTCCTTTGTTACGTATATAGACAGGTGCAGCTAGCTACATGGCCACTAGGTGGTGAAACTTTTCTGGTACATCAGGTAGTGACACAAGGTGTTCAACCCCCTTCAGGTAGAGCCCCCCTCAGTGATGTCAGGGGAGAGTCAGCAACTACATACAAGCTAGGTGGGGAGGGGCACACATTCTCATGGGGGCATGGAAGCTAAACACCCCAGAGGATGTAGCCAGCACACTTAGGCACTGGACAAGGCAGGAGGCCGAGTGGGGTTGACCTGTATGCAGAAGGAGCTGGCTGTAGTCCTCCTGTCCCTTTTATGGAGATGGGGGCTAGGATGGAATGCAAAAGGCCTTTTAGGCCAGGCTGGAGATCCCTGTGTGACTTGCGGGGATTTGAGGTGGAAAGCTGCAGGACTTGGGGTGATCTGAAGTGGAAAGCTGCAGGAATTGGAATGATCGGAGGGTTGAGATGATCTGAGGGGTGAAGGAGTGTGAATTGGAGTAATCTGAGGTGTGAAGATACAGGAATTGGGGTGATCTGAGATGTAAAGGTGCGGGTATTAGGGCGACCTGGAAGGTGAAGATGTAGGAATTGGAGTGATCTGAGGATTGAAGGTACAGGAATTTTAGTAATCCGTGGTGTGAGGTTAGAGGAATCGGGCTGATCTGAGAATGAAGGTGCAGGAATTGGCCTGCCCTGGAGGGGTGAAGGTACAAGAACTGGGGTGACCCGAGGGTTGAAGGCGCAGGAATCGGGGGTGATCTGAGATGTGAAGGTACAGGAGTTTGAGTAATTCAAGGTGTACAGGTGCAGGAGTTGGGGTGACCTGAGATGTAAAAGTGCAGTAATTGGGGTGACCTGGGGGGTGAAGGTTCAGGAAATAGGGTAACCTGGGGGTGAAGGTGCAGGAATTGGAGTGACCTGGGGTGAAGGTGCGGAATTGGGGTGAAATGAGATGTAAAGGTGCAGGGATTGGGATGACCTAGGGGGTTGAAGGTGCAGGAGTTAGGGTGACCAGGGGTTGAAAGTGCAGAAATTGGGGTGAAATGAGATGTAAAGGTGCAGGAATTGGGATGATCTAGGGGGTTGTAGGTGCAGAAGTTAGGGTGACCTGGGGGTGAAGATGCAGGAATTGGGGGGGTGACATGAGAATTGGTAAATGGTAAAGCAGGGAATTGGGGTGACCTGGGGGTGAAGGTGCAGGAAATGGGGTGTCATGAGATGTAAAGGTGCAGGAATTTGGGTGACCTGGGGGCGAAGGTGCAGGAATTGGGGTGACATGAGATGTAAAGGTGCAGGAATTGGGATGACCTGGGGGGGGTTGAAGGTGCAGGAATTGAGGTGACCTGGAGATGAAGGTGTAGGAATTGGGGTGACATGAGATATAAAGGTGCAGGAATTGGGGTGACATGAGATGTAAAGGTGCAGGAATTGGGATGACCTGGGGGGTGAAGGTGCAGAAATTGGGGTGACCTGGGGGGTGAAGGTGCAGGAATTGGGGTGACCTGAGATGTAAAGGTGCAGGAATTGGGGTGACCTGGGGGGTGAAGGTGCAGGAATTGGGGTGACCTGAGATGTAAAGGTGCAGGAATTGGGGTGACCTGGGGGGTGAAGGTGCAGGAATTGGGTGACCTGGGGGGTGAAGGTGCAAGAATTGGGGTGACCTGGGGGTGAAGGTGTAGGAATTGGAATGACCTGGGGGGTGAAGGTGCAGGAATTGGGGTGACCTGGGGGTAAAGGTGCAGGAATTGGGATGACCTGGGGGGTGAAGGTGTAGGAATTGGGTGATATACAAAAACAGAGAGGGAATAGAATGATATTAATTATTTGCCCCAATCGCTTGTTAACCGTTGCCGTCTTAACCATAAATAGACAAAGAAATGAACTCCTCCAGCAAAGGGTCAAAGCCCCCCCCCCCCCCCCCCTGGATGGGATAAGCCATTATTTGTACAGCATTCCCGGCTTCTAGAACAATTCATATCATTTATTCATATCAATAGTAAATAAGATGATCTCAATTAATTACAATTAATTCAATGACACGCAGCGCTCAACATCCATCGTGAACCACACAAAATGCCTAAAACATCACCTCTTGGATGCCCGAACATCAGACTAATTATATATGTTACAAAGTTCCAGCGCGGACAATGCCGCCGTATCTATCAATGATTGATCTCAAGCTGGTAATGTAACATAGATAAGCCCCCGGGGTCCAAAACTGCTACCTACCTAAATATATTTCTTCTACATATAGAAGATGTCCACCCAGGGGTGGACTGACCATTTGGAAACTCGGGCACTGCCCGAGGGCCCGGGGTCAGTAGGGGGCCCCATGAGATGCCCCTGGTACCTTTTTCATAGGCTTTTTTGATTTTGGGCAAGGGCACAGGGGCCCCATAATCCCCTATTGCCTGGGGGCCCCATGAGTTGTCAGTCTGCCCCTGTGTCCGCCCCAACGATGTTATAATTGGAGCACTTTCTCCACCATGATGCTGGTCTATAGTAATGCCTTCAATTCATCCAACGCTGACAGCATAAGCAGATAGGCAGCACTAAAGGTAGGGCAGCACAGTGGCTAAATGGTTGGCACTTCCACCTGGCAGTACTCGGGTCGTTGGTTTGAATCCCAGCCACGGCACCACCTGCCTGGAGTTTGCATGTTCTCCCCTGTGGCTGCGTGGGTTTCCTCCCACACCCAAAGACATGCTGGTAGGTTAATTGGCTCCTGTCTAAATTGGCCCCTAGTATGTGTATGTATGAATGTGAGTTAGGAACCTTAGATTGTATGCTCCTTGGGGGTGGGGACTGATGTGAATGCAGGGGCGGACTTACCATTGGAAACTCAGGTATGGCCCGGGGTCAGTAGGGGGCCCCATGAGATGCCCCTGGTACCTTTTTCATAGGCTTTTTTGGAGTTTGGGCAAGGACACAGGGGCCCCATGATCCTCTATTGCCCGGGGGCCCCATGAGTTTTCAGTCTGCCCCTGTGTGAATGTACAATATATATGTAAAGCGCTGCGTAAATTGATGGCGCTATATAGGTACCTGAAATAAATAAATAAAGGTGCTTGTGATTACCTTAGCCATTCATATATTTGGACTATAAAAAAGACAAAAGTCCCAAAATTGCTTTTCCAAGTCGCGTATTTACACCGTTGGCTCCAGTTGAAAGCTTTTTAAGCCGTTGGGCTAAAAGATATCCTATGAATGGCTGTTATCAGGGGCGGACTGACCATTTGGGAACTTGGGCACTGCCTGAGGGCCCGGGTGTCAGTAGGGGGCCCCATGAGATGCCCCTGGTACCTTTCATAGGCTTTTTTGGGTGTGTGTTTGAGTTTGGGCGAGGACACAGGGGCCCCATGATCCCCTATTGCCGGGGGTCCCCATGAGTTGTCAGTCTGCCCCTGGCTGGTATCACATATTGCACCAAGTGGCAGCCAATATAAAAAAAGCTTACTTACTTGCTAATGCAGCCTTTCTCAACCAGGGTGCCCAGGTACCTTTGGGTGCCTTGAGGCTTCTTCAGGGGTGCCTGAAAAAGGCAAAAAGTCTACAAATTGCCCAAAACCTATATACAAAGCAGCTGGTGGAACAAGCCCGCCTTTTAGTTACACCAAGCCACAGGTTTTCATTGTGCACCATTATTGACCCTCCCCCGCCCCTCCCATCAGCGCTGGGGTCACATTAGCTCAGTGATGGAGAAAAGCTGAGGGAGAAGAGAAACACTGGAATACTAGTCAGTACCAGTGTGCAAAAGTGTATTTGCTTTGGAAGAATAAATCCCCTCTAATGTTGGGTGTCCTACGTGTGGATGTTGCTGCGTTATATAAAATTATTACAATAGTTTTTCACATTTTAGAATGAGCAGATAGGCAGCAAAGCAGCAGTAAAGGTGCTTGGGATTACCTTAGCACAGTGTTTCCCAACCTTCTTTTCAGTCAAGGCACCTTTTAAAATTATAGACAGTCCTGAGGCACCTTTTAAAATTATAGACAGTCCGGAGGCACCCTTTAAAATTATGGACAGTCTTGAGGCACCCTTTAAAATTACGGACAGTCTTGAGGCACCCTTTAAAATTATGGACAGTCTTGAGGCACCCTTTAAAATTATGGACAGTCCCGAGGCACCCTTTAAAATTATGGACAGTCCAGAGGCACCCTTTAAAATTATGGACAGTCCCAAGGCACCCTTTAAAATTATGGACAGTCTTGAGGCACCCTTTAAAATCTTGGACAGTCCCAAGGCACCCTTTAAAATTATGGACAGTCTTGAGGCACCCTTTAAAATCTTGGACAGTCCCGAGGCACCCTTTAAAATTACGGACAGTCCCGAGGCACCCTTTAAAATTATGGACAGTCTTGAGGCACCCTTTAAAATTATGGACAGTCTTGAGGCACCCTTTAAAATTATGGACAGTCCCGAGGCACCCCTTTAAAATTATGGACAGTCTTGAGGCACCCTTTAAAATTATGGAGAGTCCCGAGGCACCCTTTAAAATTATGGACAGTCCCAAGGCACCCTTTAGAATTATGGACAGTCCCGAGGCACTCTTTAAAATTATGGACAGTCCCGAGGCACCTTTTAAAATTATAGACAGTCCGGAGGCACCCTTTAAAATTATGGACAGTCTTGAGGCACCCTTTAAAATTATGGACAGTCTTGAGGCACCCTTTAAAATTACGGACAGTCTTGAGGCACCCTTTAAAATTATGGACAGTCTTGAGGCACCCTTTTAAAATCTTGGACAGTCCCGAGGCACCCTTTAAAATTATGGACAGTCCCGAGGCACCCTTTAAAATTATGGACGGTCTTGAGGCACCCTTTAAAATTATGGACAGTCCCAAGGCACCCCTTTAAAATTGTGGACAGTCTTGAGGCACCCTTTAAAATTATGGACAGTCCCGAGGCACTCTGTAAAATTATGGACAGTCTTGAGGCACCCTTTAAAATTATGGACAGTCCCGAGGCACCCTTTAAAATTATGGACAGTCCCAAGGCACCCTTTAGAATTATGGACAGTCCTGAGGCACCCTTTAAAATTATGGACAGTCTTGAGGCACCCTTTAAAATTATGGACAGTCTTGAGGCACCCTTTAAAATCATGGACAGTCTTGAGGCACCCTTTAAAATTATGGACAGTCTTGAGGCACCCTTTAAAATTACGGACAGTCTTGAGGCACCCTTTAAAATTATGGACAGTCTTGAGGCACCCTTTAAAATTATGGACAGTCTTGAGGCACCCTTTAAAATTATGGACAGTCTTGAGGCACCCTTTAAAATTATAGACAGTCCCGAGGCACCCTTTAAAATTATAGACAGTCCCGAGGCACCTTTTAAAATTATAGACAGTCCGGAGGCACCCTTTAAAATTATGGACAGTCCCAAGGCACTCTTTAAAATTATGGACGGTCTTGAGGCACCCTTTAAAAATTATGGACAGTCCCGAGGCACCCTTTAGAATTATGGACAGTCCCGAGGCACTCTTTAAAATTATGGACAGTCTTGAGGCACCCTTTAAAATTATGGACAGTCTTGAGGCACCCTTTAAAATTATGGACGGTCTTGAGGCGCCCTTTAAAATTATGGACAGTCCCGAGGCACCCTTTAAAATCATGGACAGTCCCGAGACACCCTTTAAAATCATGGACAGTCCCGAGGCACCCTTTAAAATTATGGACAGTCTTGAGGCACCCTTTAAAATTATGGACTGTCTCAGGACTGTCCAAAATTTTAAAGGGTGCCTCAAGACTGTCCGTAATTTTAAAGGGTGCCTCGGGACTGTCCATGATTTTAAAGGGTGCCTTGACTGAAAAGAAGGTTGGGAAACACTGTGCGAAGGTAATCCCAAGCACCTTTACTGCTGCTTTGCTGCCTATCTGCTCAGGCTGTCGGCGTTGGATGAATTGAGGGTACCACTATAGACCGACATCATGGGGGGGAAAGTGAACTGCCTTGTTGCTCCAATTATAACATCTTTGGGACGGACATCTTCTATATGTAGAAGAATATATTTTGTTAGGTGGCAGTTATTGGCCCCGGGGGCTTATCTATGTTCCATTACCAGCTTGACATCAATAATTGATAGATATAGCGGCATTGTTTGCGCTGGAATTTTGTAACCTTTTATGGCCGGACGTTTGAAAGGTGATTTTTGGGGGTTTTTTTTTAGGCATTTTGTGTTGAGCACTTTGGGTGTTGAGCGCCGCGTGTCTTTTGAACTGTTTGTAATTGGAGATTATCTGCTTTATTTTTTATATTAATAAAATGATATGAATTTTTACTGTACAAATAACTGCTTCTCTCATCAGGGGGGGGGGGGGCTTTGACCCTTTGGTGGAGAAGTTTATTTCTTTGCCTATTTATGGTTAAGACGGCAACGGTTACCAAGCGATTGGGGCATATAATTAATATCATTCTAATCCCTCTCTGTTTTTGTATATCACCCAATTCCTACACCTTCACCCCCAGGTCACCCTCATTCCTGCACCTTCACCCCCAGGTCACCCTCATTCCTGCACCTTCACCCCCAGGTCACCCTCATTCCTGCACCTTCACCCCCAGGTCACCCTCATTCCTGTACCTTCACCCCCAGGTCACCCCAACTCTTGCACCTTTACATCTCATGTCACCCCTATTCCTAAACCTTCACCCCCAGGTCACCCTCATTCTTGCACCTTCACCCCCAGGTCACCCTCATTCCTGCACCTTCACCCCCAGGTCACCCCAACTCTTGCACCTTTACATACCTTTACATCTCATGTCACCCCAATTCCTACACCTTCACCCCCAGGTCACCCCAACTCTTGCACCTTTACATCTCATGTCACCCCAATTCCTGCACCTTCACCCCCCAGGTCACCCTAACTCCTGCACCTTCACCCCCCAGGTCATCCCAATTCCTGCACCTTTACATCTCATGTCACCCAAATTCCTACGCCTTCACCCCCAGCTCACCCCAATTCCTGCACCTTCAGCCCCCCAGGTCATCCCAATTCCTGCACCTTTACATTTCATGTCACCCCAATTCCTGCACCTTCACCCCCCAGGTCACCCTAACTCCTGTGCCTTCACCCCCCAGGTCATCCCAATTCCTGCACCTTTACATTTCATGTCACCCCCAATTCCTGCACCTTCACCCCCCCAGGTCACCCTAAATCCTGTGCCTTCACCCCCAGGTCACCCTAATTCCTACACCTTCACCCCCAGGTCTACGTCATTCCTGCACCTTCAACCACCCAGGTCACCCTCATTCCAACACCTTCAACCCCCCACATCATCCCAATTCTGGCACCTTTACTTCTCATGTCACCCTCATTCCTGCACCTTCACCCCCCAGGTCACCCTAACTCTTGCACCTTCACCCCCCAGGTCATCCCAATTCTGGCACCTTTACATCTCATGTCACCCCAATTCCTGCACTTTCACCCCCAGGTCACCCCAATTCCTGCATCTTCAACCCCCCAGGTCATCCCAATTCTGGCACCTTTACATCTCATGTCACCCCAATTCCTGCACTTTCACCCCCAGGTCACCCCAATTCCTGCACCTTCAACCCCCCAGGTCATCCCAATTCCTGCACCTTTACATCCATGTCACCCCAATTGGGTGACCTGCATGGTGAGGTTCTAGGAATCGGGGTGACCTGAGGTGTTAAGATGTAGGAATTGGGGGAACCAGAGCTGTGAAGGACGGGGATGATGCTCAAATGGTAAGTGCAATTTCCTGTTCGGTACATGTTAATGGAAATATGAACATGTTTTGTGTGTTTTACCAGTTGACATATTAATAATTAATACGTTTAGCTGGCTATTATCAGCACAACCGAGTACAAAAAAACAAACTACGCCGCGCTATTGTTCGCTGGCACGCCGTCTGTCTAATGCTTGTAAATTGGCACTTAATGTAGAAAAGGTTGCTGACCTCGGCTCTAGATTAGCAGGAATAATAAGTGCATCGGTTGCCGCAATTTTTCTTTCAGTAATGTATTGATGGAGACTTCCATAATTACTGAAAGGTCCACTTTAATGAAGGATTTGGGGATGAATAATAACTGTGTTGATTCTGATCACACGAGGACAGCTTTTGCTTTTATTTATTTTTTTGTGGGGGTTTTTTGTGTTTTTTTTCCTCCCTGTGCCGTGATTGAGAACATGGAGGGCCGCAGAAGGTGTCTATGTGTTGAGCAGTCATTTTCCAAGTAATTCCTGGACCAGCAGGGAGCAGTCAAAGCCGGCCGGTTGGATGTCGGGCTGGGAAAAGCAACAGATTTCAAATTAAAAATTGATCCACAAGGTGACCTCATAAGAGTGTGTATTCATAATCACTTCGCAGAGAAATATCAGCGCGAAAATAAAACGCTCTTCATCTAAAGCCGGCTAATGATGCCCAATCATATTGTCTGCAGCTGCTTTATAAATAAAAAAGATGCGTTTGTTGTATCTGAATTATGATTCTGGCCTTAGAGGGAATCAATAGTCCTGTCAAAGTTTTCTGATCTGTAAGTGTGGCCCGCTTCATGTAAATCTGAACAGTCTGTAATGTTGCTGTAAAGTAGAACTCTGGGAAGAGTCAAAATGATATTCGGTATAGGGGGATGTGTACTGGCCCTTAGACCTGATGGATGTGGACGTCTTCTGGTCCCGAGTCCTGATGAATGGGGATGTGTTCTGGCCCCCAGTCCTGATGAATGGGGATGTGTTCTGGCCCCGAGTCCTGATGAATGGGGATGTGGTCTGGCCCCAAGTCCTGATGAATGCGAATGTGTTCTGGCCTCCAGTCCTGATGAATGGGGATGTGTTCTGGCCCCCAGTCCTGATGAATGGGGATGTGTTCTGGCCCCCAGTCCTGATGAATGGGGATGTGTTCTGGCCCCGAGACCTGATGAATGGGGATGTGTTCTGGCCCCGAGTCCTGATGAATGGGGATGTGTTCTGGCCCTGAGTCCTGATGAATGGGGATGTATTCTGGCCTCCAGTCCTGATGAATGGGGATGTGTTCTGGCCCCCAGTCCTGATGAATGGGGATGCGTTCTGACCCCAAGTCCTGATGAATGGGGATGTGTCCTGATCCTCAGCCCTGATGAAGGGGGATGTGTCCTGGTCCTAAGCCTTGATGAATAGGGATATTTTCTGTCTATATTTACCAAAGAAGGAGGATGTGTTCTGGCCCTAAACCCTGATGAAGGGTGCATGTGTTCTTGCCCCAAG